TTTAAGGAGGGCTGATAATTAAATCAGTCCATTGATTGGTTTGGCACCACCCTAATCCAAGTAGCCTGGATACAACATAAATAAGCTGTATTGTCTCTTGCTTGCTTTACTACCTTCTGCCCACCATGAACTGTTTTGACCTCTGCAATGCCTGTTTGCCATGCCATCCTGTTTAGGAGTCAGCTGATTATGGACTGAAACCTTTACAGACTGTGAGGTACATAAAGCTTTCCTCCTTAAACTTTGGGCATTGGGTATTTTGTTTTGGCAATGAGATAAAAGTAACCATGACAGAATTTGGTGCTGAGAGTGGTGTTGTTGCTGTGACTGTACCTGACTGTATAGTTTAGAAGTCTTTAGAACTAACTGGCTTGTAGGAAGAGTTTGGAAAAGTTTGGAGTTTCTGTCTGAAACAGTAGAATTGGGATGCCTTAATCTACAGTATATGGGAGAGTCTGGTCAGAGATCCAAAGACCAGAGTGCTGATAGAAATGATACCAGTAAAGACTAGGCTTGTAAGTTTTCAACTGGGAGAAAGGGCTGCACTGGGTGTTGGACTCCAGACAGTATGTTTTATGGCTTAGCAGAAAGATTTTCTTCATTTTTCTTACACCTAGAGACTTTCCCTGAGATGAGGTTAAAGGCAGTGGACTAATTAATCTTCAGAAGAAATTTTAAGACAGACTAATGTCGAGACCATGACGTGGCTACTGTTGGGGCCTCTTAGCCAGATTTATGTTGAAAATCAAGAGCAAAGAGCCCAGAAGAATGATTTAAAATGTTTTAAGTTTGGCCAGAAAGGAAGCTCTAGTACAAATGTAGATTGCAAAGTAGAGCAGAGGAGATATTGATTGATGAGAAGGAACAGGAGAACAGAAAATATGGCCTGAAGCCATCACAAGAAGCAGCAGGGCTCCATCTTTTGCAGACTTCAAAATTGCAAAAGTGAAAGACTTTGATCTGAGAAGCAGAGCACCTGCAGTGCCATGCTTCAGAATGGTGGTGCCCTAGGGAAATTTTTCCTCAAGATTTGATTCATAGGCATCGAACCCCCTGCAACTCCTGCTCAACTGGTGGCAGACCTTGGATCATCTTTATAGTGCTGGTTTTAGGTGCATGTGGAATGCAGAGGTATGTGGATCAGAAAGGTTTCCACCCAGATTTCATGAGAAGACTTGGCAGCGTGCCCTTTAAGAGGGCAGTGTGTGAAGCTGTGAGTAAGAAACCAAAGGTGCAGGGAGACCCTAGAAGTTTGAAGAAGACAGAAATGTGGATTGCCTGAGGAAAACTGCAAGGACGCTGCCCAAGAGAGAAGCTGTGGGCACTACAAATGCCAGAAGTACCACAGGAACGGAGTCACCCAAGCCCTTTGGAGTTCAAATCTTGCCACAGATTGCCTCAAATGCTGCACTTGGAGCTACAAGAGCAAGTGTTGGCCTTGCTGGATTTTGTATTTGTTTTGGTAACATTCGTTTGTACCCTCTTCTTTTTATCTTTTGGAACAAAAATGTCTATCTTGTGCCATTGAAAGTTGGAAGTATTTAACTTTGTTTTCATTTGTAATGGGGCTCATAGCTAAGAGGTTGCCTTAAATCTCAGAGGAGAGGTTATCTCTTTCCTGCTTTCTTTGCTACCTTCTGCCCACCACGAACTTTCTCTTTTACAATGCCTATCTGCCATGTTACCCTGCCTTAGAGCTAGCCAGTATGGATTGACACCTCTACACATTATGAACTGAATAATCCTTTCCCCTTTTAACTTTGGGTGGTAAGTTTTTTTTTTTTTTTTTTTTGGAACTGGGGATTGAACTCAGGCCCTTACCCTTGCCAGAGAAGCACATATTCTACTGAGCCATCTCCCTGGCCCAGTATTTTGTCTTAACAATGAGAGAAATGTAACTAAGACAACCATACTATAGTGATGTAGCCTAACTTGAAATAAGAAACTGTGATGCCTCCCACTTTTGTTAAGGATGTTCTAGCTATACTGGGTCTATTCTGGATCCACATAAATTTTAGGATTTTTGTCTAGTTCTGTGATATGGTTATTGCTATTTTAATAAGGATTACCTTAAATTTATAGATTGCAGAGGCAGAGTATGTCTTTCCATTTTCTCATGTGCCCTTCAATCTCTTTATACAGATTTCTAGTTTTCATTTGTTACATGAATTTTTTTGATATTTAAAATCTTTTTTGAGGGGGCCTGCCCCTTAGCTCAGTTCTTTTTTTTTTAATATTTATTTATTTTTATTTATTACATTTATTTATTGTGTGTGTGTGTGGCCAGCTCAGCCCACCAGGGGGCGGGACTGGCTGGCATGTGGTGCTGG